CAGGGGAGGGAGCCCTCCCGCCACCCTCTGCGGACCTTTTATTCTTTCAGGATCCCCTCTGGCTTGTGAGGATGGATGCCAACCTCAGCCCCTGGGCCCCTCCAGCCTTACACACAGAGTCAGCTGGTTAGGGGAGTGGGGGAGGGGCCAGCTCCAACCCAGCAGCCCTCTGGCCTCCAGCTGATAGGGGATTGGAGGCAGGGACTCTGGGCAGAGGGGAGTGGCTGGGTTGGAGTGCCTAGCTCCGTGCACCTTCCCCGGGTCCCAGACCCAGCTCGGCTTCTGTCCTCGGGGCAGGGCCCCTCACCTGTGGGGTATGAGATTCACCATCCCCAGCCTCTAGAGGGAAGATGGGCGGGGCCTGGGACCCCGGACACCTGCTCCCTAGCCTGTGCTTCACCCCCTCTGAAGTCCATTGGCAACATCAACCTCCAACCGCCACCCAGCTAGAGTTGGAGCAGGGGCATGTGGATAGCAAGGTGTGGTGTTAGCCTGGACCAGGTAGAGGCCAGCCTTTCCTTCACCCTGTGCCTCGGTTTCTCTATTTGTGATCCTAATGGGGAAAGGGGCTCCCCCACCCCCAGACACCCTACACCTTATATATTCCACATCCCCTTTCAGGGCAGGCGGATCTCAGAATGGCCGAGTGGGGGGGGGGGGGGGGGGGGGCGGCTGGAGTCCCAGCCTCTCCCAGCAGGCCTCTTCCTCCTTCTCCCCCTCTGCCTGCAGGCAGGATGATCCCAGGCACCAAGGGGCTCGTCTGACAACTGCATGTCGATTAGGAAGGTCCTCTCCAGAGAAGGAAGGGGGAGGCCAGGGGTACCCGCAGCTGAGTGACTCGCCAGGCAGGGGTGTGGTGTCAGGACCTTGCTGTGACCCACACGCCACTCCCCAACCCCCGACTTTAACCTCTTTATCCCCACGGCTCCCTCCCGTGGAAGGCTGGCTGGTGGGAACCAAAGTGTGTGTCTGCACTGCGGATGCTGAGCTTCCAGAAATCCATCAGGGGAAAGAATTCAGCTCCACGCTGCCAGGAGCCCTGCTCCCCTGTCCTTTGCCTTCTCTGTGGAGAAAGACATCACTCCCGCCCCCTCCCCATGGCCCACAGTGCTTCCAGCTCCTTCCCATGCCTTTGGCCTCTGGAAAAACCTGGAGACAAAAGGAGCAAAGAAATTCCATGCGACGGCGTTGCAGGGAGAAGTGGGACAGCAGCCAAGGAGTCTCCCTGCTCCAAGACTGCAGGACTCCGCGTCTGGGAGCTGCAGAAGCAGTGTGGCACTGTGTCCAGGAGATGGCGCTAGGACCCATCGACCTGTGGGACCCCAGGGAGCCAGGAGTGGGGCAGTTTCCTAGGCAACAGGCTACGCTTCTGAAAGCCCAGCCCTTGGCAACCATAGTAAAATGTTGCGTCTAAAGGACAGCAGGAGCATATATAAAATATAAAATAATCTAATCTCTCAGAAAGGAGAGAGCCTGGCGGGACGGGGAGAGGGGACTGAAAGACCCCAGTTCTTTGCTGCCGTGTATTATCTCGCACCTGTCGCGGTGCCAGGTGCATATTATCCCAGCAACCCTTTAGGCCGGAATGCATATTTCTTTATTATGGATGGGGAAGGCAGGGTTCGGAGAGACAGGTGACCTGCCCAAGTCAGCTGGTAGGATCCTGGTCCTGCCTGGGTGTATCCCGGTCCATTCCAGTCTGGTGTCAAATGTGCAGGGGCGAAGCCCTGTGATGGGAGCTGGCAGAAGAGGCTTGCAGGGGCACCGGGACCGGCAGCCTTGGGTGAAGGGAGGCAAGGATGAATTCAGCCCCTTCCAGCTGAGTTCTTTCCTTGCCCAGCCCCAGCCAGCTGGGGTCTCCCCGACCTTGCAGCAGGGCTTCTCCCTCAGAGACCACAAGGGCAGAAGAAAGGGAACTTAGGAACTTCCCTCTGAAGTCTAGGGTAGGAAAGTTCTCCATGAAGGACAAAGGTGTAGCCCCAGATGATTCTGGGGAGAGGGGAGGCAGAAAGGGGTTCAGTGTCAGGGGCTGCAGGGGAGAAGACTGAATTCAAGTGGGTCAAGAGACAGATATGGAGGATCCAAAGTCAGTTCCATGATCTCATCTGTA